GAAGCTCGATGAGGAGTACGAACCACCAACCTGGCTTTGGGAAGTCGCGGATCGATCGGATGGACTCAGCGATGCCTTTAACCCGCGCATCCGGTACAGCCTTCACTGGGGACTCGCATCCCGCCGATCCACTGGTCTGGCTTTCGGCCATCGCCAGTGTCTCCTTGGCTATGGTTGAACGATTCTTCACACCAAGAAAATTCCTCGGGCGGCTGTGGATATGGCAGAAGCTCTGTCTTTGACTGATGACGGACGAAGACGACAGCAAGAGCTCCGTCTTCGTTGACCGTCGGGTTCCTTCTTCGCTACCATCTACAACGCCAAAACATTCCCCGAGAGCAAGCCGCGCGATGGCAGGCAGGGGAGCCAAGCCCAGGGCGCCGCCCCCCGCAGCCGACCGCTGTCGCTTCGGCAGAAACCGGGCGCCCAGCGGGACCCCCCACGCCAACGTACCGGTAGCCACCGAAATGTGCAAACTTCCTACCGGTAGTGCCGTCCGCATTCGCGGGGCCAACCTACCGGGCGCCGGACTTCCTCGAAATTGATCGACGCCAAACCCCGCCCCCGCCCCCGCCCTGCTCACACTGTGGGCCATCGCCTTGACAAGGAGGACAGGGGATCGAGGACACGCATTGCGCGCCGCGCCGCGATCCCCTGCTTGCCGCAACCCACATCACCTACACCTACTACTTTCCCGCATTGAATTCCCAGTACGATCCCGACCGACATATGGTAGACCGCCTCTGGGCGCGTTGACGAACCTGAACTCTCAGCGCCTCGTCACACCGTTGTTTTTGTTTTTGTTTTTTTTGTTTTTTTTGGGACCATTTCTCGATTTATGCGTGTCATCCTTGCGCTGCTCTCTGGGGTCATTTTGCTAATTACCCTTGTATCGTTCCAATTTTAACGGACGTCCCGAAGGACCGTCACACCACTGTCTACCTTTCTCGGCCTTTTGGCTAAGATCAAGTGTAGTATCTGTTCTGATCTGCGGTCCATTGGGAAATTTATAGTTAAAAAAACGGTCCTTGGAGTGGAGGCTTGAGCACGGATGTGGCTGCTACGGGGTTCCCCCAGTAATACCATAATAACAATAAAAAGAAGGCCTGAAAGGCTGTCCTGATTCGACAGATACCTGAAAGCCTTCAAAAAAGAACAAACAAAAGAAAACGCATACGAACGCATATTCCTGCAAAGAGTGCCAAGATGCGTCCGTTAGTAACGGGTGCATATTGCCACTTTATGGGGCTCGCTCCACTACCCTCCACACGTGCACAAAAGACAAAAAATATGGCGGTGTATAGTTCCATGTTCTATGGGACGATTCATTCTCATTTTGCACATTTGGACAGTAGTGGAGCGAGGCCCTATGCAGAAGATGAACTCGAGCTGCTTTTTTTTTATCTCGTGCTTTCCGTTTCGATGGTGATGGGGCGAGGCCCTCACTCACTTCGGACCAAAAAGGAAAGAAAAAAGGAACTCACTCCTGGGTCGTCAATGCAGCCCGCCTCGTGTCAATCCCACGTCAGCCACCGGAATGACGAGCTGAAGCGATGTCGTTTTTCGACGCGGCAATCAGCGGCCCTGATTGTTCGGGTGTCTGGTTGCCGCCTCTCTTTTGCAAAAGTGGGTTCGAACGCATGTCACCGCTGCCAGCCCACGTACCCATAACTACCCGGCGGTCAAATTTCTACGCTGTATATAGTCCGTGCCATGTAATATTTTATTCGTCCTTCGGGACATCCGTTAAAATTGGAACGATACAGAGAAGATTAGCATGGCCCCTGCGCAAGGATGACACGCATAAATCGAGAAATGGTCCAAATTTTTTCCCGTTCTCGTCCGTTTTTACGCCACAGAGGAGCCGTGCAAGCAGTTGGCCGAAGGCGTTGGCTACTCTGCCAGCAGGACAAGGGTCCGGCTTATTCAATTTCTTCATTTCTCTGCCCTGTCATAAGATGACATCAACAGCCACAGATGAACTGTTAAAACAACTTGGAGCGAAGTGTTGCAATTTGACCACAATCACATGAGAAACATGGGTGCCATCTGAAGCCACCAATCACAATAGAAATCCACATGCTCCATGGAGGTTAAACAATTGTCTCTGCACGGTGTTGTTAACCCCTGCAAAATTGCAAGTCAGGCCTACCAGATGGAAAAGAAGACTATGACCTAGTAAAAACAAACAAGTGGTTGCGCCGTAGCTTTAGTTGCAGCATTCCAACATCCCAACAACACTTTTGCGTCCCGCTTCTCTCTTTCAGGCCCCCACCACTCGATGTCATGCCCGCTCCCTTTTTTTTCCCCACCACGTCCCTTTTCCCCCCCCGGCTCCTGGGCCTGCCGTTTGGGCCCAATGTTGGTTTTTCCAAGAAGGGGAGTGGTGTCTCGCGTGGAACGCTTACGCGAGACCCGGTATTTTCTTTAGGAGTATTGGGGGAAAGGGCTGGTGGTGTCAGGCAAGTTGAAAAGTGGCAACTTCATTCGTGGTTTGGATATCCAGACCAATCATTTTTCTCGCGAGGCCGGAAACGCAACTATGGTCGCCGACAAAATTTATCAACTGCGACCCGGCCCCAAAATTTTCGTAGTAGGCATCAAGTTTCTTTTTTGCAAGGCTGCGGCGGTGCACCAGCAGTTTGATGTTGCTCCTGCAGAAGGGTGACATAAGCATTCAGCATACGACTTCCCAGTTGGGTGTCATTTGCCACTGTACCATGATTTGCAATATAGCAGTGCCCCTGAGATGTTCGGTCACCCCCCTGTCCTCCCCCTCACACGAGAACCCACCGCAACCCTGCAAGAAGAAGGTGTTTGTGAGCCCAGTGGGATCAAATGGACCAGTGAGGGAACGCCATCTCACTCGGCTACCCCCTGTCTCCCTTCCCCCCCCCCCCCACGAGAGGTCCCTCCACTAACAGGTGCGAAAACTAGTCGCGAGCATAAGTTATCCCCGAAGGGCGGTGACAACCCTCGCGATGGAGTTCGACCAGAATCACATGCTTGATCGGAAGTTGAGAGCCTTATGCCTCCCACTGGACTGACTCTAATTCCTAAGTTAGCCTATCAGGTACCACGCCCCTAGTCGGGCCACCTCGAGCGTGGAGTTACCTAGGTCCCTTGACTCATATCTATCTATGGATCACGTATCATCTTTGCAATGATTTTTAACGTTTTATCAAAAGATTATCGTTTTTTTTTACATCAAAACTCTTCCAACCCCATTCCTTCGGCCCTTTGTTTTCTCCTTCACCTTTCCCTTTTCTCTCTTGGAATCAAAAAGTCTTCATCAGGGTATATAAAAGCAGGTTGGGGAAATATATGAGTAAGGTGACCTTTCAGGTTCGGCTCGCTCCCCGTAGGCTGACACTCCACCTGTTAAAACTCATTCTAAATATCCCAGCAGTCCCCTAGGTCAGAGTCCAAAAAACTCGCAAGACACCGGTCGACCCACCACTCGACCTCTGATTCCTCACTTGATATACCCCCCATGTTGTCCCAAATATCCACCCTTCGCAATCCCGTGCCTAGAGTTGTCCCCCCTTCCAGCCCTCTTTCTACATGACAAGGTGCAGTTGTAACTCTACTTAGGGGCCCCGGTACTCGGGAAGTTACCCTTCTTGCCCCTAGGTCTCTCAGAATCCCCACTTGCTCCCTCTCTCCCTCTCTTGGAGGTTCGATGCCTAGGTGTCTCGTAACCAAGCCCTTAGGGTCGAGGACCACTCGTAGGGCCCTTTCCCTTCGAATCAATCCGTGAGAGTCAAGGATCGATGGCACACCCCTGATTCCCTCTCAACTCTAGTGACCCTTATCCCACAGATCAACCCGTGAGGGTCGAGGGTTGAGGACAGATCTCTCTCAGTCCTCACGCCCTTCCTTGAGAGTGCTCTTCTCGCGCGCTCTCACACCTCGGTATCCTGACATGAGTGCCCACCCTTCTTCTTTGGGTAACTTTAACCTTCATCCAATCCTCCACGCCAAGCAGCCAACACACCCAATCCTTTATCTTCTCCGCTCTTATATTTTTCTTTTTAAATAAAACACACCATTTTGTTTCCCTGCGAAAACTTACCTTTATTTTTGAAGTCGCAAGTGGGTAAGCACGGACCTGCAAAAGATAACTCAAATCTTCCTTAATCCCCCACTAGAAAAATTTCTTCCCAGTCCCAACACCCGAAGTCAAGCCCCTGCAACAGCACCCCAACCACGAAAGGGACATCAGAATCCGGGTAGACAAGAGAATGTCGTCGTCGAAGGCGTGAGAGAACTGTCGAACCAAATCCTGGTGCACATTGTAATGTCGAAGACCAGAAAGATATGTGAATCCAATCCGGGTGTCGGACCACTCCGTTGCGTGCTACTGCATCACTATCAACAACTGCCTCTACCGTCAGTGTCATTACTCTCGCTTCCACCACCTGTTACGTTGCCCCTGTTTTCACTCGGTTCGTAAACCAACCGAAGTTGTCGGAGGGGGCAATCCCCGACAACAGCGCCAATTGTAAGCGGGTGTCCATTATTCACCATTTAGAGCTCAGTCCCAGGTGCGCCCTCGCCCCAACCCGTCTCAACTTCTGGTATGTCCGCACTCCAACCGTTTTTTATCTATTGGGCAACACGCCATGTCATTCTACAGTTCAACGTCTCGGGTGGGGTTAGCCCCCTCTTCTGCCTGGTTTGTAAGGTTCGGGCAAACCCCAGGAATGTTGGCGACGTACACACCAAGAACGAACCCCGGATACTTACTTCCATGGACTTAAGGAGAAAACACCGATTCGGGAGAAAGACCCTGACTCATGTAGCAGTCCAACCTGTCGACCCAGAGGTGCGTACCCGAATAAACTGCGCATTGAAGGTTTCCAAGCCCGTTAGTTCCAAAATCTACTCAACCACCCAGAGCCCCAAAATGTGAATTCTCTCGTTTTATCTGTCACTCGAGACACTCGCTTCAAGCCTTGATCGTGATAACTCTGCGCATAGTTTGACTTAAGAGACCGACCAATCTTTACTAAAAAAGGGAGGCAATTTTTCAAACATCGACAACAGAGACACTGCAATGACTCACTCACTTGACTAGCTTCGCGTGAAAAAGGGTAGGTGGGTGCTCATAAACGAACTGCAGCGAACCACCAAGCAAAGAAACGAGTTGCAATAACACTGCTCTGACCCATCAAGTTTGCACGGGAAAGCAAACAAGTACTCGTGAACAGCCAGTTGTAGCACTGCAATGGACCCCTAAGTTCACACAAGAAAGCAAACAAGTACTTATGAATAAACAACAACAACACTGCGGAAAATGACTAAGTTCACACGGAAAATAAAACAGGTATTCATAGGCGAGTCGTACCTCCGGACCCGACTAAGCAGAAACACCACACTTTAGACGTCAGAAACCGACTTCGTTCACAAGAAAATGATTTGGACAAGTTACCGTGCACGAACAATAGAACGACATGCCCGTTTGGATCAAAGGAGATTGATCGAATTCAACGGTCAGTTATGCCATGCCGCACAAGTTTGGTCATACGAGGCAACTTACTCCTGGTGCTCGATGAAAGTTCCCTCGTCAGAGGTAGCGACTCTCCTCGTCTTCAATCGCTCTCTCCCACTCCTAGTTTCCTCTTCCGATCATTGCACGTGT